GAGAGAGAGAGAGAGAGAGAGAGAGAGAGAGAGAGAGAGAGAGAGAGAGAGAGAGAGAGAGAAAAGGAGAGAGAGAGGAAGGATGCCTACTCATCTTTATTTGAGGTAATGTTGACTTGCTAATGGCTGTTCGAACCTCAGATTCCGTTGCTGTGGTTTCGAGTTCGTTCATTGCTGTCCTTAGGGTCCTTTTATGTCGTTCTTTTAACCTTTGTGTGCCTGTTTTTGACATCGACCGCGATTCGAAAGTCATCCTTGTGTTAAACACAGTCCGGATCAGTGATCGATGAAGCCATGTACTCCCTGCGAATTATCGTCAATGGATCTGCTTGGCGCTTACTTCCACATTCGTTCGTGATAGCGTCGGTGTGAGCTCACGCCCTTTTGCAGGATCATTATGTGCATGTTGTGTACCCTTTATCCTTTTCTTTTCCTTTTGCAACTCTTTCTCCACGAGGACGGCGAGTCGAAGTGAGAGCACAAAAAAAAAAAAAAAAAAAAGTGAGAGCACGACAGACCAACCGGGGAAATGTGACAAAGCATTTGTTCTTTTTTGTTAAGGACAAAAGTGGTAAACACAGTCGTACAAGCGTATGCACTGCGAATTCACATTATAAACCTTTGATAGAAGTCACGTAACCAGATATTTATACTTCAATGGGGTTTATGAACCCCTCAGTGATCAGTAGAGACTCAATGACATACAGAAGTGTACAATTGTAGTAACAATCACCCGCTGGCAGGTGCACCGTATCAAACGATTATGGGGCAGGTATGCATGTGGAAATGGAGTCTGCAGTCTACTTGCTGTGAGATGTTCGTCGGGTAGGAATGTACCTTCGGAGAAATGAGTGAAATTTTTGTACCTTCGGTATCATGAGATGGTCGTATGGCGGGCTGTGTGTTACCTTTGCCATTTGCTCTCATCAGCTGTGCGACTTGAAAAGACCTTTGATTGGCTGGATGTGTGCAGTGTAGTAGTTTGGGGGATGGAATCTTCTCACACCGGCCTATGTTCTTGGGGGAGGCAATCTTCTCACAACTCTGTGTCCTCGAGATTTGCTCACCTTGATGACCGTCGCATTGACGCCTCTCTCTCTCTCTCTCTCTCTCTCTCTCTCTCTCTCTCTCTCTCTCTCTCTCTCTCTCTATGTCTCTCTCTCTCTCTGTCGTGTGTTCACCTGCTTTGTGGGTGTGTCTCTTGTTGAGTGTGCATTTGTCTCTTGCTGATTACAGTTTGGAAGATCTGGACCGCAACCTTCGCAGTAGGGGATCACGGCTTTTGATTGTGCATGGAAAACCAACGGAAGTGTTCCCTGTAATTTTGGAGAAGGTAAGTGTTTTTCTTTTTAGAGAATTCAGGTTGTTAGATTTACTTGTTTGTGTTTAGGGTTTAGGGTTTAGGGTTTACGCGTATCCAAGAAGCCAAGTCAGGACAGTGCCACAGGCCAAGGGTTTCACTTACCTAGGTTCTTTCCCTCAGGCCCTTGATCCTTCTTTTTTTTTTTTTTTTT